TTTTTGAGTTGGAGTTTTGCTCTTGTTGCCCAGGCTGGAGTGTAGTGGCGCCATCTCTGCTCACTGCAGCCTCTGCCTCCTGAGTTCAAGCTGTTCTTCTGCCTCAGCCTCCCAAGTAGCTGGGATTATAGGTGTGTGCCACCATGACTGGCTAATTTTTTGTATTTTTAGTAGAGACATATTGGCCAGGCTGGCCTCAAACTCCTGACGTCAGGTGATCTGCCCCCCTTGGCCTCCCAAAGTACTGGGATTACAGGTGTGAGCCACCACACCTGGCCAAAAACTTAAAAAAAAAAAATCTGTTTAGAGCTTATAGCCACTGGGTAAAGTATTTTTTTATGAGCAAAATTGAAGCATTGACCTTTCTTTGTACTGATTTCTCCAAAAGCAGAAACTATTAATGAGTATTCTTAATTTACTGTAGTATAGTTATTTGCATAATTTTAGTAAAAAAAATTTATCCCTTGTTAACAGGACAAAATTGAAGACACTGGATATTCTACCAAGGCTTTGCCTGGAGTGGTGAACTTTCAGATATGACCAGACTGCTTTGAGGAATTGAGGTTGGCTTTATAGAGCCAATAAAAAGCTACTTGGAAAGACTGGCCATGTACCTTGTCTATACAGTTCCCTTACAAGGTTCCTGACCTTAAGGTAAGTAAATAATTTCCCTTTCTGATAGGTCCAGGAACCTCAGAATATTTTGGGGCCTTGAGAAAAGAGGAACTCACCCAGTTAATGCAGGTTTTACAGGCACAATCTGGTGATGAATCAATCTGTGGCTTTTCAAACCCTCAAGGCTTTAAAAAGTCTAACCTGAAATTCTCTAAGAAAATTCCTCAAAGCCAACTGGAAAAGAACCTTTATGGTCAGTCACAATTCTTGTTCCACTTTATACAAATAATGAGTCTGAGTATAGTGCTAAAACTTATTTTACAAGTAACTTGGTCCCACTAAGATTTATTTTTGGTAGAAATGGGCAGTTGGAGAGAGAAAAGTTAAGTTTCAGAAGAAAACTGTTGTATACCTACTATTAGATTCCAGCCTGATGACTGTTTCTGAGTTTTTATTATTTTCCTACAATCCTTAATTATTTCCTGGCTACAAGTCTTTAAAGAAGGGCTGGGTTTTAATTTTCTTTATGATGTTTTTAGTTCATTCATAAATTGAATTTTTCTGTTCAGGCATACACATTTCTTTTTGATTATAATTCTTATGTGTATTATATTTCTACTATGTATCTCTCATTTTTTTGTTTTTTGTTTTTGTTTTGAGATGGAGTTTTGCTCTGTCCAAGCTGGAGTGCAATGGTGCGATATCTTGGCTCACTGCAACCTCTGCCTTCCTGGTTCAAATGATTGTCTTGCTTCAGCCTCCCAAGTAGCTGGGATTACAGGTGCCCACCACCATGCCCAGCTAATTTTTTATATTTTTAGTAGAGGCAGGTTTTCACCATGTTGGCCAGGCTGGCCTCGAACTCCTGGTCTCAGGTGATCCACCCGCCTATGCCTCTCAAAGTGCTGGGATTACAGATGTGAGCCACTGTGCCTGGCCATATCTTTTATTGTTTTGCTTCTCCTAAGAAAACCAGATTCATGGTACTCTGAAGACTAGAGACGATTCCGCAGGCAACAGCAGCTATATAAATTGATGACTGAGGTCTCGTTTTGCCACCCTGTGATACCTTCCCCATTTAGCTTTTGGCTTTCTTCAGATTCCTCACTGAGAGGTATCCATCCCCAACATAATTTGGATATTTGTCCTCACCCAAATCTGATAATGAAATATAATCCCCAACATTAGAGGTGGGGCCTGGTGAGAGGTGATGGATCAAAGGTGTGGGTTTCTCATGAATGGCTCAGCAGCATCCCTTTGGTGCTATCCTCATGACAGTGAGTGAGTCCTCATGAGATCTGGTTGTTTAAAAGTATGTGGTCCCTCACCTGCCACTCTCTTGCCCTCTCTCTCTCATGTTCCTGCTTTCCCCCGTTACCTTCTGCCCTGATTGTCAGCTTCCTAAGGCCTCCCTCGAAGCTGAGCAGATGCCGGCGCCAGGCTTCCTGTAAAGCCTGTGGAACCATGTGCCAATTAAGCCTCTTTTCTTATACATTACCCAATCTCAGGTATTTCTTATTTTTATTTATTTGTTTGTTTATTTATTTTTCTTTTTCTACATTTAATAAATGTTTGTTGAGTAAGTCAGTATAAATCAATGACCATCAAATCATGTGAGCAATCATCAGAGTATCTGATTTCTAAAAAGATGCAACAAAAAATTTTTCTTGTAAATGGACAATTTATAATGGTATAAATTTATAGGTTACAAAATGATGTCATAAATTGTAGATATAATGTGGAATAATTAAATCAAGCTAGTTAACATATCCAGTACTTCAGATACATTTCTGTAATGAGAATATCAATTTTGAAATGTATAATACTCCATTATTAAGTATATGCACCACACTGTACAACAGAACTCAAAAAAAGTACAAAACATATTCTTCCTGAGATTTTGTGCCCTTTGACTGTCATTAATTTTTTTTTTTGAGACAGTCTCATTCTGTCACCCAGGCTGGAATGCAGTGGTGCAGTCTTGGCTCACTGCAACCTCTGCCTCCTGGGCTCAAGTGACCGTCCCTCCTCAGCCTCCCCAGTAGCTGGGATCACAGGCACGTGACACCACACCCAGCTAATTTTTTTCTGCATTTTCAGTAGAGATTGTGTTTTGCCATGTTGTCCAGGCTGGTCTCAAACTCCTGACCTCAGGTGATCCGCCCACCTCATCCTCCCAAAGTGCTGGGACCACAGGTGCGAGCCACAGTGCCTGGCCTAAAATTTTTATTAGACAAAATATCAATTTCACAACAGCATCAAAAAGTGAGCAGGCCAGGCACTGTGGCCCACACCTGCAATCCCAGCACCTTGGGAGGCTGAGGCATATTTTTCTGTACTAAAAATAGAAAAGTTAGGTTAAATACAAAAAATTTTCTGGGCATGGTGGTGGATGCCTGTAATCCCAGCCACTCAGGAGGCTGAGGCAGGAGAATCGCTTGAACCCAGCAGGTGGAGGTAGTAGTGAGCCGAGATCACGCCACTGTGCTCCAGCCTGGGTGACAGAGCAAGACTCCATCTCAAGAAGAAAAAAAAAAAAAAGTATTTCTCTCTACTAAAAATACCAAAAAAAAAAAAAAAAAATTAGCCGGGCATGGTGGCGTGTGCCTGCAATCCTGGCCACTGGGGAGGCAGAGGCAGAAGAATCACCTGAACCTGGGAGGCAGAGGTTGCAGTGAGCCAAGATCGCACCACTGCACCCCAGCCTGGGCAACAAGAGGGAAACTTGGTCTGAAAAAAAAGAAAAAAGAGTGAGCATATTTAACCATCCTCAGCTCATAATAGAGCAAATAGGTCAACAGAATAATAATTCACGTTATTGTATTTGTAATGAACTGGCAACAAGCGAAAGTTGGTTGAAGAAAGGCAGAGGAACTACATCTTGTAAGAATTAGAATCAAGGGACACCATAATCTTCTGGGATCCGTTCAATGTTGTATCTATGGTTAGAAATGTACATGATCAGGAATCTTGCAGATTCTTCTTTTAAGGTCTTGGTCCACTGTGGCCACAATGTAACACGTTGAGTTACTCTCTGTACTAAGCAGTCATCTGCACAGGTTCCTTTGTGTGTACATGTAATCATTCAAATTGTGGGTCCTTGGTGATCCTTAGAGCCACTTGATACTTCTGTGCCGGTTTCTCCCTTTCTGCTATTACACAGTCAGTGATACAAGGAATACACTTGGCATACAGACAGTCCATACTTACTGTACCAAGTCCAGTTTGGCTTTTATGGAAAAGTTGATACAGTTGGTATCAATGAGCCTGTGGTAAGGTGGGTTCAGCTGTGTATTATACTGGAAAAATAAGCAGTAATGGTGTTGGGGAACTTTGCTTTCCTTTAATGCACTGGGATCCTTCTTTTCTTTTTTCTTTTTTTCTGAGGCGGAGTCTCGCTCTGTCGCCCAGGCTGGAGGGCAGTGGCGTGATCACGGCTCACCGCCACCTCCACCTCCCGGGTTCAAGCAATTCTCTGCCTAAGCTTCCTGAGTAGCTGGGATTACAGGCACCCACCACCACACCCAGATAATTTTTGTATTTTTGGTAGAGACGGGGTTTCACCATGTTGACCAGGCTGGTCTGGAGCCTCCTGACCTCGTGATCCACCTGCCTCAGCCTCCCAAAGTGCTGGGATTATAGGCGTGAGCCACCGGCACCCAGCCATGGATCCTTCTTTTCTTTAAGTTTTAATCTGTCCTTTTCTTGAAGCCTGTGATATCTGAGACTAAGCATTCGCTCCATGGTCACATGGTTCCTTGTTTCCTTTTGCTTTCCAGAGGTCACGCCACACTCCTGTTTCTTCCAATATTTATTTATTTTCATGCGAGATAGGTTCTTACTCTGTCACCCAGGCTAGATCATGGCTCATTGCAGCCTTGTCCTCCCAAGGCTCAGGTGACTCTCCTTCCTCAGCCTCCCAAGTAGCTGAGACTACAGGCATGCACCACCACACCTGGCCAATTTTTTTGAATTTTTAGTACCGATGAGGTTTCACCATGTTGTCCAGGCTGGTCTCGAACACCTGACCTCAAGTGGTCCACCCACCTCAGCCTCCCAAAGTGCTGAGATGACAGGCATGAGCCCCCACACCCGGCCGGGAGTATGGGACTTTAGTCATGCTCCATTCACCTCCACCCTCCTGTGCTCATGCCAGGGTCAATTGTTTGGAGACACTTTTGCTCCTGACAGGCTGCCTCACCCATTATCTTGATGTTCACATGGAATTTGTGATACAAGGAACAATGCATAGCTAATCAATAGCTTCTGCTAGTTTAATATAAATTCTTGGGAGCAACTTGGGGACTGCCTCTTCTTTTTCCCTTACAAATCTGCTTGTCTATCCTGGACAACATAATGAGACCCTATCTTTATATATAAAAAAAAATAGCCAGGCATAGTGGTATGTGCCTGTGGTCCCAGCTACTGAGGCAGGTTCAGGAGAGAGGATGGCTTGAGCCTGGGAGGTTGAGGCAGCAGTTAGCTGTGATCATACCATGGCAATCCAGACTGGGTGACAGAGTGAGACCCTGTCTCAAAAAAAAGAAGACCCACTTACTGCTGCTCATTGGAGCATCTGTTCAGGGCAACTTGAATTAGGCTCCCAAATGGGCATCCTTAAGCTTTGGGCTTGAATAAACTTTGTACTTAATTATATTTTCTAAATCTCATTATTTAAAGTTGAGAATTCATACTTCCCTTTATCTGTTCATTCATATATCTCTCCTTTCACCCACCTATTCACCCATCTATCCATCCACCCATTTGTCTATTAGTCCATCCATCCATCCATCATTCCATCCGTCCACCCACTCACTCATTCATCCATCTGTCCTTTCACCCACCCATTTATTCATCCATCCATCCATACACTGAGTCATCCATCCATCTATCTATCCATTTGTCCATCTGTCCTTTCATCTACCACCCATCCACCTATCCACCCATCAATCCATACATCCATCTGTCCATCCATCCATCCACCCACTCACCCAGTCATCCATTCATCTATCTGTCCTTTCATCCACTCATTTATTCATCCATCCATCCACTGAGCCATCCATCCATCCATCTATCCATCCATTTGTCCATCTGTCCTTTCATCTACCTGCCCATCCACCTATCCACCCATCAATCCATACATCCATCTGTCCATCCGTCCATCCACCCACTCACCCAGTCATCCATTCATCTATCTGTCCTTTCATCCACTCATTTATTCATTCATCCATCCCCTGAGTCATCCATCCATCCATCTATCCATCCATTTGTCCACCTGTCCTTTCATCCACCACCCATCCACCCATCCACCCATCCACCCATCCATCCATCCACCCATCCATCCATCCATCCACCCATCCATCCATCCATCCATCTGTCCATCCATCCATCCACCCACCACCCAGTCATTCATTCATCTGTCCTTTCACCCACCCATTTATTCATCCATCCATCCATCCACTGAGTCATCCATCCATCCATCTATCCATCCATTTGTCCATCTGTCCTTTCATCTACCACCCATCCACCCATCCACCCATCCACCCATCCATCCATCCATCCATCCATCCATCCATCCATCCATCCATCCATCTTACATTTTGGGGGGCATGTTTGATGTGTCAGATACTGTGGCAGGTACACAGACACAAATTCGGAAG